TGGGAAATTTTTTGATGAATTTAAAATTTGGCCAAAAAATGTGATGGTACCCCTAGACCTCGAGGCCAAAAGTAACAAAATTATAATTTATACATTACTGACAAGTCTTTTTGACATGAAACTTTAAAAGAGGATTTAACATGCAAATAGAAATTTCCATGTCAAATTTGGGAAATTTTTTGATGAATTTAAAATTTGGCCAAAAAATGTGATAGTACCCCTAGAGCTCGAGGCCAAAACTAAATAAATTATAATTTATACATTACTGACAAGTCTTTTTGACATGAAACTTTTACATAGGATTTTGCATGCAAATAGAAATTTCCATGTCAAAGTTGGGAAATTTTTTTATGAAATTAAAATTTGGCCAAAAAATGTGATGGGATCCCTAGAGCTCGAGGCCAAAACTAAAAAAATTATAATTCATACATTACTGACAAGTCTTTTTGACATGAAACTATTACAGAGGATTTTACATGCAAATAGAAATTTCAATGTCAAATTTAGGAAATTTTTTGATGAATTTAAAATTTGGCCAAAAAATGAGATGGTACCCCTAGAGCTCGAGGCCAAAACCAAAAAAAATTATAATTCATACATTACTGACAAGTCTTTTTGACATGAAACTATTACAGAGGATTTTACATGCAAATAGAAATTTCAATGTAAAATTTGAGAAATTTTATGATGAATTTAAAATTTGGCCAAAAAATGTGATGGTACCCCTAGAGCTCGAGGCCAAAAGTAACAAAATTATAATTTATACATTACTAACAAGTCTTTTTGACATGAAACTTTTAAAGAGGATTTTATATGCAAATAGAAATTTCCATGTCAAATTTGGGAAATTTTATGATGAATTTAAAATTTGGCCAAAAAATGTGATGGTACCCCTAGAGCTGGAGGCCAAAACTAAATAAATTATAATTTATACATTACTTTTTTTTTTGAAGGAAAAAACTCATATATGATTAATCAAAGACGGAAAAAAAGGAGGAACAGAGTCCAAGTACATAGTTTGGGGTTGGGAATAGGCCATGGTAGCCAAAAGATGTGCTAGAGAGTTTGAAGAGCGGGGAACAAACGAAACTGAACAACTAGTAAAAGTACGAAGTAACACCTTGCACTCATGGAAAGAGATGCCAATGTATGCCCGGGAAGTAGTAGAAGCCGAGCCCAAATAATGACAAAGAGTAGAGCAATCCGAGAAAAGACGGACATTGGAAGTGTCCCTAGCTTTCAACCAAACCAAGGTTTCCTTGCATGCTAATGTTTCAGCCATCAACGGGGATAATACATCAAAGAGAGGACCATTCATAGCCGCCACAAACCTGCCCTCATGAGACAAAAGCACTGCCCCGAACGTTGCCCTGCCTGTCCGCTCCTCGAAGCCTGCATCAAACCAGCAGGTAAACTCAAAATCAGACCCCTGTGGAACAGCGTGGAGGTGTTGCCTCAGATCGGGTTCGGGAGGAGGAGCATAGAAGTGCACCAGATGACGCCATGCTTCCAAATTATGCGCTGCCAGATTCCAAGTTTGCCGAGGCAAGGGTAGTTTCAGCTCCCAAACTACTGAGTTCCTGGCCTGCCAAATTCCAGAGAGAACAGCTGCAACCACCTCCAATTGAGCACCATCGAGTGTAGACCAAACTTTCTGCAACCAGCAAGGAAAGTCAAGAGAAATATGAGAAACCACCGGCAAACCACTCTCATGCCACACCCGCTGAGAATAAACACAAGAAACCAACACGTGCAAAACTTCCTCAATAGAATCGCCACACAAGGGACAAAGAGGATCAACTTCCACTCTCCTACTAAACAAGTTTGTAGTGGTGGGGAGGATATTTCTCGCAGCCCTCCACATAAAAGTCCTCCATTTGGGAGGAACTTTTAACTTCTAGAGCTTTGTCCATAAATTAAAACTGCTTGCATGAAGAGAAAACTCTCCCACAATATTTCTATACCCTCTTTTAACAGTATAACATCCACTAGGATCATCATGCCAGTACCAAGAGTCTTCAAACTCCAGGCTAAGAGGAACCCTAACAATACGTTCCACATCCTCCGGAATGAACAGATCATGCAAGAGAGGGATATCCCAAGAATGCGTAACCGGATCAACAAGATTCATTACTCGAGTACCTTGGAGTTGAGGGTGCATAGTGGTATGAACCATCGGGTCATGAGCATCAGAGAGCCAGGGGACACCCCACACCAACGTGTTAGCCCCATTACCAATCCTACGACGCACCCCACTGCAGATAAGTCCATGAGCAGCCAAAATACTCCTCCAACAAAAACTAGGACAATTACCAAGAGTAGCATCAATAAATGAAGATCGAGGATAATACCTTGCTTTGTAGATCCTAGCAACCAACGACTGTGGCTCCGTCAGAAAACGCCACCCTTGCTTACCCAACAGAGCTAAATTGAAAGCCCGTAAATCCTTGAAGCCCAATCCCCCAAATTTTTTCGGGACACATAAACGATCCCATGCCATCCAATGGATTCCTTTGCTATTGTTCCCACCTGAACTCCACCAGAACCGGTTCATCATGCGCTCAATAGATAAACAAAGTGAGTCTGGAAGCAAGAACACACTCATTGAGAAAGTAGGCATTGCCTGGGCAACACTTTTAAGAAGAATTTCTTTACCTGCTTTAGTTAACAACTTTTTGTTCCATGCCCCAATCCTTTGCTTGATTTATCCTCGATATACGAGAAAACAGCACGTTTATTACTTCCAATAAACGAGGGTAATCCAAGATATTTTCCAAAATTATCCGCTTTAGAGACCCCAAGTAGACCCGCCACAAGGTCTCTTGTCTCCTCCGTGGTATTCCGACTGAAACTAATATTAGATTTGTGGAAATTGACACACTGGCCAGAGATACTCTCATAATTTTGGAGGCACTGTTTGATGACTCCAGCTTCCTCGACATTTGCTTTAAAAAATAGAAGGCTGTCATCTGCAAAAAATAAGTGTGAAACCGCTGGTGCCCCCCTAGCGACCCTGCATCCATGAATGGCTCCAACTGTCTGAGCGCGCTGTAATAAGAGAGAGAGTCCCTCAGCGCACAAAATAAAGAGATACGGAGATAAAGGATCTCCTTGCCTCAATCCACGCGTTGGAATCACCTGACCTCCAATACTACCATTGATTTGAATATTATAAGTAACAGTAGTAACACATCTCATCACCAAGTTGACCCATCTCGTGTTGAACCCTAGTGCCAACATCATGCTCTTCAAGAAAGGCCATTCCATCCTATCGTAAGCCTTGGCCATGTCGAGCTTGAGTGCACTCCACCCGACTTTACCAATCTGCTTCCTGTTCAAAAAGTGCCCAATCTCTCCCGCAACAAGGATATTGTCTGTGATAAGTCTTCCCGGAACAAAAGCACCTTGAGACTCAGAAATCACCTCCCCGAGCAAGGGTTTCATCCGATTCGCAATCATCTTCGCCATTACCTTGTACACAACATTACACAGAGCAATCGGCCTTAAGTCTGAGACCATTTCCGGGTCTTTCTTCTTGGGAATAAGAATAATGTTGGTATCATTAAGCCCACTTGGCCAAGAACCCAAATTCAGACAGTCAAGTACAAAGCTCACAACATCATCACCCACAATGTCCCAAAAATGCTGATAAAACCCCGGATTAAAGCCATCAGGACCTGGTGCCTTATCGGGGAACATACTAAACAGAGCAGATTTGACTTCCTCCTTCTCAAAAGGAGCTTCCAACTGAGCATTATGGGAATCAGACACACGAGGAGTGATCGAGGGAAAAGGATTAGCATTTCCAGTAGCAGCCCCATTTGCATTAAAAATATTACCATAATGCTCCATAATAACCCGGACCAGATCCCTCCCCTCCACCCAGTGTCCCGCGTCATCACGAAGCTTAAGTAGATTGTTTTTGCGTCTACGATTAGAAGCAAATTTATGATAAAACCTGGTATTCGCATCGGCACCCCGCAACCAATGCTGCTTGGCCCGTTGCTTCCAATATGCATCCTCCTGAGCTTCAAGTCGTGACAACTCAAATTCCAACTTGCGGAATTCGGCCAGGGAGTAAGGATCACACCGACCCCGCCAACGCATCTGCTCTCTTCGTAACTCATTGATACGTTTTCCAAACATATGGACACGGTCGCCCCCCCAGTTCATTAAGCGCACACCACAGTTGTGGACGCAACTCAACAAACCGTTTGCACGTCCATCACGCCAAGCACCCTCCACCACCCCACGACATCCCTTATCCAGCAGCCATGCCATCTCAAACCTAAACCTTCGGCCCCCTCTTCCCACCCTACGCTCAGACTCATAAACATCGAGAAAGAGGGCAGAGTGGTCTGACGTCCGGGTAAGGATATTGGAGACCCGAAAAGCCCCTTGCAAATCAACCCAATTCCCAGTAGCGACCACCCTATCTAACCTTTCTTCCACCCAAGTCTCAGTGCCTTTGCCTCTCTCCCAGGTGAACGGGTACCCCATAGTCGGGACATTCAGTAAGCCGCAATCTTCAAGAGCCTCCCCAAATCCACGAAGAAGACCTTCAGGGTGTGGGAAAGGGCCCCGCTTCTCGTGTTGAAATACTAGGTCATTAAAGTCCCCCACGACCACCCATGGAAGAGACGAACGTGTTCCAAGGCTTCTAAGGAGGTTCCATGATTCGCTACGTCTACTCCTCTCTGGAAAGCCATAGAAGCAAGTCATGCGCCAAGGCTGCCGGCCATACAATCTCACCATGATATCCACATGATTTTTGGAGTAGCTAAGGAGCTGTGCAGTATTATTCCTTTTCCAAAGCAAGGCCAGGCCTCCGCCCAAACCCGTTCTATCGACATAAAAGAGCCCTTCAAACTCGATCTTAATCCGAAGTCGTTCTGCATGTTCTCTATTCACTTTAGTTTCCATTAGAAAAACAAAGTCAGGCTTCTTACTGGACACAAGGTCCACAACCTCACGAACTGTACGTGGATTGCCCAAGCCACGACAGTTCCAGCTCAAGGTACTCATTGGGACGGGCGGGTCTGGGAACCAGAACCCGCCACAAGCAAGTTTTTTGAGACATCCTCCATAGAGACATCAACAACATGCGCTTCACCACTCATACCATCTACAAAATCCTCCCCCTCCCTTCGTCGTTTAGGAGCAGCCAAGACACCTGATTCAACTTCGCTCGAGCCCCCCCATCCAACAACCCCCTTGGTGTACTGATCACCCTCAATCCTCCCACCCAGGACACCACTTGCAGGGACCAACCACCGCTGCCCCACCGCCCGCGGTCCACGAGATAAGCCGGCACGAAGATTTGGACCATACGGGTATTGATCCACCGGGATTGTTGCCTCCCGCGCCCTAAGACAGATTTTGTGGGAGTGCCCCATCAAGCCACAAAAGAAACAAAAGGTGTGTAGCCTTTCATACTTAAAATTCACCCACGTCCAAGAACTGTCACGCTTAATGAACTTCATACGATGCTTCAAAGGTTTAGCAATCGGAATAGAGACCCGAATACGATAGAAAGCCCGCCATGGTACACTTACCTGTCGATCATCGCACTTCAAAAAAGAACCAATGAAGTTCCCAATCTGTGCCAAAACTGAGTCTGATGTGTATCCCAAAGGCAAATCGTAGAGCTGAACCCACAAATCCACAGTATCGAGGACCACCGAACTCGGTAGATCCCCAATTTCAACCTGACGGCAAACAAGCGTATTATTTTCAAAAGACCATGGCCCCTCCTCTAGTACCCGCTGCAAATCCGATTTATGGAAGAAGACAAAGGAAAACAGATTTGGTTCAATCTCTGATACTTGAACTCCTTTGACCGGACGCCAAACCGACGCCATAACTTGCTGCGTAAATTCCAATTTGATAAGCTTGTCAGTAAGAAACCTGCCCACGAGCATCCAAGATCCAGCCCCTGCCCCATTATCGGCGTGAGGTTCTATCCCTACCGGCATAAGACCTACCTCTTCGTCCTCAAGCACCAAGCCATCATATCGGGACGCCAATTTCTCCACTGCATCTTCCGGTGTAGTTTGCGCCATAAGTCAGATGGTGAAGATCGCCGAACATGAACTAAGTGCCGACAAAACAGAACCTAGAAAACTAGGAGAGAAACGAGCTTATAATTTATTTTGTCTTTTTGACATGAAACTATTACATAGGATTTTACATGCAAATAGAAATTTCCATGTCAAGTTTGGGAAATTTTTTTATGAAATTAAAATTTGGCCAAAAAATGTGATGGTACCCCTAGAGCTCGAGGCCAAAACTAAAAAAATTATAATTCATACATTACTGACAAGTCTTTTTGACATGAAACTATTACAGAGGATTTTACATGCAAATAGAAATTTCAATGTCAAATTTGGGAAATTTTATGATGAATTTAAAATTTGGCCAAAAAATGTGATGGTACCCATAGAGCTCGAGGCCAAAACTAAATAAATTATAATTTATACATTACTGACAAGTCTTTTTGATATGAAACTTTTACAAAGGATTTTACATGCAAATAGAAATTTCCATGTCAAATTTGGGAAATTTTTTGACGAATTTAAAATTTGGCCATAAAATGTAATGGTACCCCTAGAGTTTGAGGCCAAAACTAAAACAATTATAATTTATACATTACTGACAAGTCTTTTTGACATGAAACTTTTAGAGAGGATTTTACATGCAAATAGAAATTTCCATGTCAAATTTGGGAAATTTTTTGATGAATTAAAAATTTGGCCAAAAAATGTGATGGTACCCCTAGAGCTCGAGGCCAAAAGTAACAAAATTATAATTTATACATTACGCACAAGTCTTTTTGACATGAAACTTTTACAGAGGATTTTACATGCAAATAGAAATTTCCATGTCAAATTTGGGAAATTTTTTGATGAATTCAGAATTTGGCCAAAAAATGTGATGGTACCCCTAGAGCTCGAGACCAAAAGTAAAAAAATTATAATTTATACATTACTCACAAGTCTTTTTGACATGAAACTTTTACAAAGGATTTTATATGCAAATAAAAATTTCCATGTCAAATTTGGGAAATTTTTTGATGAATTTAAAATTTGGCCAAAAAATGTGATAGTACCCCTAGAGCTCGAAGCCAAAACTAAAAAAATTGTAACTTATACATTACTGACAAGTCTTTTTGACATGAAACTTTTATAGAGTGGTTTACATGCAAATAGAAACTTCCATGTCAAATTTGGGAAATTTTTTGATGAATTTAAAATTTGGCCAAAAAATGTGATGGTACCCCTAGAGCTCGAGGCCAAAACTAAAAAATTATAATTTATTCATTACTCACAAGTCTTTTTGACATGAAACTTTTACAGAGGATTTTACATGCAAATAGAAATTTCCATGTCAAATTTGGGAAATTTTTTGATGATTTTTGAATTTGGCCAAAAAATGTGATGATACCCCTAGAGCTCGAAGCCAAAACTAAAAAAATTGTAACTTATACATTACTGACAAGTCTTTTTGACATGAAACTTTTATAGAGTGGTTTACATGCAAATAGAAACTTCCATGTCAAATTTGGGAATTTTTTTGATGAATTTAAAATTTGGCCAAAAAATGTGATCGTACCCCTAGAGCTCGAGGCCAAAACTAAA